TTAAATACAATTTGCTATCTATCAAAAATTATCTATTGACAATAACTGTTGAATCATTTTTTATATAAATTCTATTATTGTAAAGGACAAAATCACATGGGCGGTTCTATTTTGGGCTTTCAGTAATGGTAAGGTCTATCCAATCTCTCTTCGTGATTCTATTGCTCTCAGCACCCATGTTGCACTTGACCCAGTTTGACATCGACGTTTGGGACATTATGGAAGTCTTATTTTAGATAAACACAAGAAATCTGGTTCTATTTTTAGCACATCTGTGTGTTACCCAGATCAACAATTGAATACAATCTAAATAATAATATGGAGAAAATGAGTAGAAGAAGAATAATTCAGCAACAATCAATATCGTATATTCATAATGATATGTCAATAATACATGATATACGAATGACTTGTTGAGAGAGAAAAAGTAGAGGTGCTCTACGGGAATGATGTGTGCGGAATTAATCGTGTAGAAGCTTAGGCTGTTCGAACCCCTCTGTCTGTATTTATAGGAGAGAATTCGAACATCCTAGTACAATTAGGACATGTAGGGCGAGTGGGCTTAGTTGATTAAAAAACATGTTTCTCTGTTAACTAAAAGTTTGCTAATACTAAGACTAATTAATCAAAGATAATTATAATTAATTTGAACACAACTAATTTGAACACAATAAATAATGTTCTAACAATACCCCCCTTTGTGTTGAAATCGCGATGAAGAGTTGATTATCTTTGAGTCTTGTATAATGGTTTTCTGTAGCCTAGAATGACTTCGTATTCTCTGATGTTTATTCTAAATTCAAGTCGTAGGCTAATAGCAGAAGCAAAATCAGCAATGAGGACTATTTGAACTGGGTCTTCTGGATTTTCTGACTTCTTTAGCTTGAGTGCACATTCTCCAAGAATGTCTTCAATGATGTGTAGCGTTCCATCACAATATTTATGAATTTCTTCCATTAGTAGGATACGCTTAACACCATTGTAATCTCTGTAGATCATCCCAGTTTGAGGATCAACAATGATTTTGCCTTCTTCAAGTTTTTTAATCCACGGAGCAGTATTTCTCGGAGCTGTGAGATTGACTTTGCTCAAGTTGCTTCAATAGCCATTTACAGATCAAACAATGAATAATACTTGATTTGTGCGCAACATGTACCTCTTGATGACATTGAGACCTAAATCTCTTTCTTCCTTAGGAAAGTCTCTGATTCTCACAATTCTGTATTCAAAGAGCAGCAGGATCAAGTCTTTCGGAACAACATATGGAAAATCAGCTTCAGAAACTCTTTGAATCACTCTGTTCTGCCTTTCAAAAGTTATGAATGAATACTTTGTCAATCCACATTTATGGATTTCTACCGATTTGATTCTTATGATCAAAGATTCTGAATGCTTCTTCAGATCACTGTGAAGTTTATAAGGATCATATTGATCAGCAGACTTGTTTCACAGCATCCAGATATGTCCATTAGCAGCAGTGCCTTCTAGATGTTCTAATCTGCGGAGTTATAACTCATCTATCTTCTTGATGTTTGATAGAGTATATCTAGAGAGAAGTGAGAGCTAGAGAGAGAAGTGCAATAATATGCTTCAATAAAATGAATTTGTAACCCCTATAACTACTCCCAAGGGGAGTATTTATAGAGAAAATACGGGCTGTGCTCCCAAGCCTTGGGCTTGGGAGGCCCATTTACAACTGGACCGCTACTGGGCCGAATACAAAGCCACTAATGGGCTGTACAAATAAGTAAGTGTAAAATCCGGTTCTGTGAGGTCTTTGTGGCCGACGAGGGCGTGGCCGAAGAGGGCGCGGCCGACGAGGGCACCCGGGTTCCTTGGGCTCAGGACCATACTCTGAGTTGGCACCTTTTCGGCCGACTGGGGTCCCTTGGCCGACGAGGGCGCCACTCAGTGTCTCGTGCTTTCTGTTCTTCTGAGTATGTGGGTCCAGGGGCTCAGACCCATATACTCCATCAGGAGTCCCCCACTCTCTAAACTGAGACGTAGACGAAGTGAAGGAGAGTAGATTCCCGTGCTTTAGTGCTTTTGGCCGATGCGGGCATTCCCAGGCCGTCAGCAGTTGCGGCATTGGCGCTGTTTCCATTTTGGTGATCCTGTTCTGTGCTTTGGCCGTTACCTGCTCCTCGCTGTGGGCGGGGAGGCCGTTGTTTCCTTGATGTGTTCGTTTGGGGACGATGAGTGTCCTGCTTCAATGGTGGCCGTTGAAGGCGCGTTTTCCCTTTCCTGGGCGTTGATGGTTGAAGTTTACCTTTGGGCCGATGAGGCCGTTGAGGTTGATCCTTGCTTTGAGGACGATGGCGTCCTTTCCTTTGGGTGGTCGATGAGGGTGCTCGCGCACTCCTTTTGGCCGTCGTTGACTGGTTTTCGTGTTCTTGGCTGAAGAGCCCATCATGATTAACTGTTGGCGGAAGGACGATGAGTGTCCTTACCTTAGGTGGCCAGTTGGCCGTTGTTGATGATGTTATGTGCCTCCGGCCGATGAGGCGCCATTGTGATGCATGGACGATGTGGCCATGCTTTGTGGTTGCATTCATGTTCTTTGTATTGTTCCTTTTTGTTTTGTTGAGGCCGGTGTAGTCCCCCAGTCCCCCACTGCTTCAGGCCGAAGAGTTTGAGGGGTGAAGGAGTTGCTTGAGTCCCTGGCCGAAGCGGCCTCTTCGTAGTGCCCCTGAATCCAACTCTTATGACGATTTTCTGGCCAAGGTAACCCTGTGGGAGAACCCTTGTGCGCAGATCGCTTGTAAAGAGTTATCATCAAGGGTCATCACGAGGAGTCGATGGCTGTGGGTTATTTGTTCCTTTGGTTCTGTGGCCGTTACGGGCGTTCATTACGTTCCTGGCCGTTGTCGTCTCCTTATTGTTTGGCATTTGTGATCTTGGCAAGCAAGTAGGCCGTTGTGGGCGCTTGCTGGCACTTGTGAAGCCGGCCAGTGTGTAGGCCGTAGAGTCTGATTCGCTAGTGGGCTCCCATTGATATGTAGCTTGGCCCGTTGGTGACGTGGTGGCCTCCCATTGGTGGCCGTTGATGTGGCCATTGGGAGGGTGCCACGTGTAGTGACCGTTGGGTGGGGGTTCTATAAATACCCCTCCCCCTCCGACCAGAAATCTTATTTGCATTCTGAATTGTCGAAGTGCTGGCCAATTTTCTAGAGAGATAAACTCCCAAGCTTGTTCTTCGTGTTCTTCGTGTTCAAGGTTAGTGTTCATCGCAATCTTCTGCACTTTTCATACTTTGCTTCCTAGGCTAGTGATCTAGTGTTAGGCGTTTGAACACCCTTAGATCCTAAGTTATTCTCCTTAGGCTCGTAGTAGTAGTTATGATGAAGAGCTTGAACGAAGACTACTACCCGTACGACGACCAGCCCTCCACTAGGTCACTCGACTATGAGGTGCTCGAGGAGTTCGAGGAGGAGATACAACACTTAAGTCCTTACAAGTCCGGAGAGGCGGTGGACGACGAAGGTGAGGACGAGGAGTCCGCCTCATCTTCAAAAGGTGAGGACGCAACTGCGTCCCGAGTGGTGGACGGGGCGTCTACTTCAGCTGTTATTCCGTGCCCGAGGCCGGTGTCCGCCGTTAAGGGAGCCGGTAAGCCGAAGAGAGTGAGGAGGCCGAAGAGTGGGCCGGGCATCTCCTACCTGGATCTCACAAACATATTCCTGATCAAGCCGGAGAGCAGCGCGGCCGACTACCTGGTTGCCCAGATGTATGTGGGGCCGTTCGGGCGGGTTAGGGCACCCAGGCCGACGGACCATGTTCTTCATCCGCCACCGGGATACTTTGGAGTATACCCGATGAGTTTCGCTAAGGGGTTGAGGTTTCCCCTTCATCCCTTCATCACTGAATACCTTGACATGGTGGGGCTCCCTCCGGCCTTGCTGACGCCGAACAACTATTCACTGATGGTGGGGTTTTTGCTCCGCTGTGAGGAGTTGGGATACATGCCGACGACGACCCTGTTCATGAATCTGTACCAGATAGGCCGAGGAAGCCACAAAAACTGTGCGGCCTATGCTACTCTTCAACACCTGCCAAAGAAGAGGAGCTTCACGGACTTGCCTTCGTCCATTCATGGGTGGAAGAGCAAGTTCGTTTTTGTATCCCTTGGTGAGAGTGGCACCGAGTTTCCCTCTCTCGGCCATACCGGGAGGTTCAACCTGCATGACCCGCCGAAGAGCTCTATCTTGGACGCTCAGGTGGAGGCTTTCCTGGAAGGGGGGCCGAGGAGCGTGAAGGATTATATCACTGAATACAAGATGACCGCCCTCGGCTTCATGAGATACCATGTGTATGGCGATAAGGAGGATGATATCCAACTCTGGCCGAGGATGACCACCACCTTCGAAGAGGCCGACGGCCCGGACTTGGGCATTCCTGCTGAGGCCGATGGTACTTATTTCTTCGGCTTTCTGTCTTTATGATTTGTTCTTTTGCCCTGCTAATCTGTTGTTTTTCCTTTGTGTAGATTTTGTCATGGATCGTCGTTCCATCATGGCTATAGCAAAGGCCAAGGCGGCCGAGGAGTTGGCCGCAAAGGCGGCCGAGGCGGCCAGACGTGCCGCGGCCGAGGGAGGCGGGGCTACTGCTGGTGCGGCCCCAAAGCCTGCCTAGTCCAAGAAGAATAGGCCGGCCACTGACGGCCAGAAAAAATTGACTGAGGCCGGCCTGAACGTCACCAAGAAGACGAAGAGGGCACCGTCTCCTTCCCCTGCTACTGAGGCCGGTACTCTGACTGTCCCAAGTGTGGGCGATAGTGGTCCCGTCGTGGACCTTACTGCTGCTCCAAGTGATGCCGCCCAATCGCTCCCTATCGTCCAGGAGCCACGGACGAAGAGGGCTGGCAAAGAGATCGCCGCTGCCACCTACCAGAAGGTGGTGGAATACCCCGTCGGCGGGGGTGTGTTTGACGATGCCGTCCTCGGCCACGATGTGCTGGCCCAGGCCATGCCGGCCAAAGATCGGGCCTACCTTAAGAAGCTCGGGGACGTGAAGGTGTACGAGGGCGGGATGGACCTCCTCGTCCAAGTAAGTTCCCTACCTTCTAATGTGTCGTTTTTCTCGTCGTTCAAGTGGGATTATTTGTCTGAGTCTTGGTTTGCCTTTTTTGTGCAGAGTGCCTTTATGCTCATGGAGAGCCACAAGAGGCAGTACCGGGAGATAGCTCGTCTGAAGGAGCTTGAGCAGAAAGCTGCCTCGGCCGATGAGGCGGTAGCTTGCCTGGATCGGCTCCGGGAGGATGCTAAGGCCTTGCAACAGAGGGCCGATGAAGCCGCTGCAGTCAGGGACGATGCCCTGGCCAAGCTCGAGGAGAGCCAAAAAGCGCTGGAGGCCGAGCGGCGCAAAAACGAGGAAGCCGTGAAGGCGAAAGCTGAGGCCGAGGCTGCCGCTGTGAAGGCTGCTGATGAGGCCGTTGAGCAGTTCCTGGCCGAGGGGTGGAAGGCCGATGAGAGGCTCCCCTGGTGCTATGAAGTGGTGGCCGCCAGGCTTGAAGATTGGGGGATGAACTCCCCGGCCGGCCAGGAGTACTTCAGTAGGGAGATGGCCATTTACTATAACATGGGCCAGGAGCGGATGCAGAGGCTCCTATGTCGGCGGCTATCTCGTGCTCTGAAGGCCATGAATTACACATCCGGGTGGGCTAGACAGAACTTGAAGCTTCCAAAGCTGATGAAAGATCCCGAAGAGCAGGCCAAGCTTCCTCTGTCGGAGCGGGAGTCCCCCATTGAGAGTTTCGGCCTCGGCGAGCCGGATTACACAGAGTTTGATTTCCTTGACGATGCCACCAGTGCTGCGGCTGCCGCCGGCCAGGAGACTGAGGCCGAGGAGGGAGCCGACGACGTCGAAGAGCCAGCCGATGATGGAGGCGCTCAAGAGGCTTGATCGGTTACCCCCTGCTCCCTTGTAATTAGTTTTTCATTTTTGCCGGATCGATGTAATGGCCGAAGCGCCCACTATTGTAATGAACTGATTATGAATGAAAATTTTTGCTGTCCTGCTCGGCTATGAATTCCTTGTATGCTTATTTCTCTTTGCCATTTCAATTCTGAAATTTGTCTAAGTGTCAAGGTCACAACTTGGGTCACCCGCAAGTGTCCGCTACGTCCGTGAGGTAGTCCATCCTGTCCGGTGGCCTGGTCGGCCTGTTCGTCGTTGCTTTACTATCATAACACTTAGGATTTTTTTAAAAAAAATTCCTAAGTGTTTTGGGTTCACTTAGCTGCTTTCTTCCCGGTCTGGTGGCTTGGTCGGCCTGGCCGTCGTTTCTTTACTATCATAACACTTAGGATTTTTTTAAAAATTTCCTAAGTGTTTTGGGTTCACTAAGGTGTTTTCTTTTCCGTCCCTGACCGTGGTGTCCGCTCCGTCCTGGCGTTGTCCCATTTTCCTTTTTGGTCAGGATTTTTCTAAGTGTCTAACTCCAAGTGGATGGGTGTTCTCATCGTCCTGGTTTTGAGTCTCTCCCATTGTTGGCAAATGATTTGGGAGATTTCCCAAGTGTTGAACCACTGTCGTTGTCGGCCTGCATCCTTGTGTTGTGGCCGATAAGGGCACCTTCACCTTACTATTTTGAGCTTTGAATTTTTTCTAAGTACATATGCAAGGCGTAGGTAGCTAACGGCCTTGGAGCATACAGGTACCCGCTTCGTCTAGAGTTCCTCCATTTAAGTACTTAGAGATTTTTGCAAGTATAAATGTAAGACATAGTTCCTTCTTTGCGGTGCCGCTGCCGGCTAAGAGATGGCCCTACCATCATCGGCCAAGGTCTGGATTTGTGGCCGATGAGGGTGCCCCTTGCTTTCCCCAAGATGAAGACCCTTCCTTCATCGGCTAAGGCATAGTTCCTTCTTGAGGAACTTTTTTCTCAGAATTTTCTCTAAGTGTTTGGTAAACACTTGAACAAATTCCCAAAGAACTTTCGCTTGACCAACAGCCTTGGTTCCAGTGCCTGTATCGGCTACCCGGGATGTTGTGGCAAGTAGGGATTGTTTCTTGATTGCTTGATTCTTCCGTGGGTGTGATAAGTGCCCGCTTCGTCCTGGTCATCCTCAGGATTGTGATTCTTTGTTTCATGCCAAGCGTTGGTGCTTCAAAGGACTGTGGCCGATGAAGGTTACCTCTCGCGTGTCACCCAACCGATTCGGTTAGGGTTTTATAGGCGTATGTTTCGGCCGTGACCATTCCCTTGTGGTGTGTGGACGTATCGTCCATGTCACCTGTTAGTGGTACTACACTTGTGTTCAACTGATATGTACTTGGCCAAATTGGGCCTGAATTGTGGAGATTTTATTTTTCATTGCTCGAGGCCGGCTAGTGTGCACGGCCGTCGTCTTCTCTCTTTTTCCCTTATATATATTTTTTTTTTCGGGGAGTATCCTTCTTTCAGGCTTCGGCCGAAGGGTGTGCTCGTCCTTCGGCCGGTTCGGACTTCGTTTATAACATGCGTGATCTCAGGGCGGGTCCCGTCGCCTATTTATGACGCGGGCTAGACTTTTGGTCGGTTTCCAACGGCTGTCGTTGCCCATCCCTGAGTTTTGGGATTTTGTCACCTCGGCCATGATTTCAGGCCTGTCGTCCTGCGATCTGGCGCGTGGACGACGCGGTGAGCTTCCCGTTTCAAGACGGGGGCCGTTTGCGGGCCCCTCGTCCTGGGGACATCGTCGGCCATACCTGAGCATTTCACTTCTAGGCTTACGGGGCCAGGACGATGTGCTCTCTCAGCTAGGCCTGAGCCCTTCGCTGATACAAAATACAATGGCGTGCCTGAGCTTGTCGCTCGTAGGCTACAAATGCAAGGGGCCGCGTCGGCCATGCCTGAGCCTTTCGCTCTAAGGTGGCCGACGGGGGCACCTGCTAATGTTTTACTTTAAATTCCAGAGAAAAAAACAGGAGGAACATGATTTTATTCATAAGTGGCTCGAGGCCGAGGGTGGCGTTCAATCAGTAACCCGTTAAGGGGTGAGGGCTTCGCCGTCTGCACCTCCTTCGGATTACTGATAAAACTTCACCAGATGGTGTACATTCCACGTTCGTGGTACATCGGACCCATTTGGGCGTTTAAGCTTGTAGGTGCCGGGTTTGACCACGACACTGACGATGTAGGGCCCTTCGTACTTCAATGCTAGCTTGCCACCCTCTGTTGGCTGGCTTGCTTCCCTTCGGCGGAGGATGTAGTCCCCCACCTGAAATTCCCGGGAACGTACCTTAGCATCATAGTATGATTTTACTTGCCGCCGGTAGTTCTCTGCTCGGACGTAAGCTTGCTCACGCCTCTCATCGACCAGGTGTAGGTCAATCTTCATGTTCTCCTCGTTGGCGTCAGGCTCATATTGTTCCACCCGTCGGCTGGGGATGGCAACTTCCGTGGGCGCCTTTGCCTCGAAGCCGTAGCATAGGGCGAAAGGCGTTTCCCCTGTCGCCCTCCTCGGCGTGGTTCTGTAGCACCACAGGATGTTGGGGAGCTCGTCGACCCAACTACCTCCTGCGGCCTGGAGCTTCTTCTTCAGCCCCTCCATGATTGTTCTGTTGGCGTTCTCGACCTGCCCGTTGCCCTGAGGGTAGGCAACGGAGGAGAAACGATGCTTCACCCCAAACTCCCGGAGGAGCTCCTGGAAAGGGGCTGCCTCGAATTGGGTGCCGTTATCTGATATAATCTCCTGGGGGACGCCGAAGCGTGTGACGATGTTCTTGTAAACAAATTTTTGGCATCTGGCCCCCGTGATGCTGGCCAGGGGTTCCGCCTCGACCCACTTGGTGAAGTAGTCGACGGCGACGATGATGTAGCGATTGTTCCCGGCGGCTCTGGGCAGGGGGCCGACCAGGTCAATCCCCCATCTAGAGAATGGAATTGCAGTGCTGACGGGGGCATAGTTGACGGCCGGCCGACCAGGGGCCTTCTGGAGTACCTGGCATGTGGTACATTTCCTGGCTAGGTCAGCGCAGTCTCGTGCCATCGTCGGCCAGAAGAAGCCCTGGACGACGAGACGCCGGGACATGCTGAAAGGGCCCTGGTGCGAGGAACAGACGCCACAATGAACTTCTTCCATGGCTATGTCGGCCTCATCCTGGTGGAGCCATCGAAGGAGAGTGCCATTGTAGGATCGTTTGTAGAGTTTGCCATCTTCGATGGTGTAGCTTGGGGCCCTGAGTTTGGTAAGTTTGGCCCTCTCCTCGTCCGGGGGTAGCTCCCCTGTTGCGATGAAGGTGACGATGTCGGAGATCCAGTCCTCTGGTCGCTGTTGGACGCATAAGACGGGGCTGGCATGGATGCTGGACATGCTCAACTCCTCGATCTTGGCCAGCTGGGAGATGTGCTCCGGGGTGTCCGAGCTGAGTTTGGAGAGGATGTCGGCCTCGGCGTTCTCGGCCCTAGGGATCTGTGTGATCTCGTGGGTTTCAAACGCCTTCAGCAGCTCCTCCGCCGCTTGTTTGTACTGCTTCATCCGGCCTTCCTTTGCTTCGTACGATCCCTCCACCTGGCCCACTACCAGTTTGGAGTCGCACTTGATTTTGAGGTGCTTGGCCTTGAGGCCAGCGACGAGTCTGAGACCGCTGAGGAGGGCCTCATACTCGGCTTCGTTGTTGGATACCCTGAAGTTGAAGCGGATGGCATAGTAAGCTCTGAATCCTTCAGGGGATATGAGGACGACGACGCCACCGCATGATTTCGCGGCCGACGAGCCGTCAGTGAATAGGATCCATGTATCGTCCGGCTCCGGCCCGGGGTTGGCGATGGCCGTCTCCCTTGCTGTGCATTCGGTGACGAAGTCGGCCAAGGCTTGCCCTTTGATAGATGTCCTTGGCTTGATCTCGATTTGAAATTGGCTGAGGAAAATTGCCCATTTCACCATCCTAGAGGAGCTGGTGGGGCTCCTCATGAGTGCGCCGAGAGGCTGCTGGGTCAGTACACGGACGGCGTGGGCCTGGAAGTAGTGTCCCAGCTTCTTCACCGTATGGACGATGGCCAGCACCGTCTTCTCAATGGGGGAGTACCTGAGCTCGGCCTCCCTGAGTGTCTTGCTGATGTAGAAGATGGCCTTTTGCACCCCTTCGTCCTCACGGATGAGCACGGAGCTGATGGCCGACGCGCTCACCCCTAAGTACAAGAAGAGGGTTTCACCGGCTCTGGTCTTGGAGAGCACGGGTGGGGACGACAGGTACCTTTTCAATTCGTCGAATGCCTCCTGACACTCCGTCGTCCACTTGAAGCTGTTGGCCTTACGCATGATCTGAAAGAAAGGGAGTGCCCTCTCGGCTGACCTGGAGAGGAACCGGTTCAGGGCCGCCAGGCGCCCCGTCAGTCGTTGTACTTCCTTGACATTACGGGGCGGCTCCATGTTGATGATAGCCTGTGTCTTCTCCGGGTTTATCTCGATGCCTCTCCGGCTGACCATGTAGCCGAGGAACTTGCCACCCTGGACGCCGAAGGCGCACTTCTTGGGGTTGAGCCGGAGCCTGAACTCCTTCATGATTTCAAAGATTTCCCGGAGGTCGTCGGCGTGGGAGGAGGCCTGCCTGCTCTTGACGATCATATTGTCGACGTATGCCTCCATC